GTAATCATCATAGTAATCATCATAGTGATAAGAACCATCTAAAAGCCGGTGGCCCTTACGTACCCATAGCGTTGTTCTTCATCAGGCACGGCTGTGGGGACTCGGTGTCCACTGCGGCAGTTGCTGATCTACCCCGTGGACGAATAGGGAATGAATGTCAAGGCCAAGTACCAGCAGTCTGAACATGCGCCGGCACCAATACCTGGCTGAGTGAAGGGGCTGCCTTTGAGCATGGAGGCAGTGTCGACACCCGAGTCGGCAAAGGCAGAAAACTGGATGGAAGCCGCAAGGTCCTCACTCAAGCTGGCCGAGGGCAGGTTGAGCAGGGGCTCTTTCTTGTTGGGCAGCACGTTTTGCGCTCCGGCTTCGCTCATCGGTGAGTCGGCGTGCTCAAGGTCGTCCCCATGCGAGTGGCTCTGAGGCTTTGGGTGAGAGATTTGACCGGACGTGCATAAAGCCTTGTGCTGAACAAACTCATCTGAGTTTTTGAACATGAGATGGCAGTCTTCACATTTTGTAACGCTGCGCTTGCTGCGGCGCTCATGGGACTTGAGATGGGCTTTGAGGCTTGAAGATACGGAAAAGGATCGCGAACACTGAAAGCATAAGCAAGCAAGAACATAGCATAGCCAGCGCAAGTGAGACCACGGCTTTCGACTGGTGGGATTTTGCAGCATCATGACGCAGGTCCTCACCAAGTGACAATCATACGGCTTTTCACCCGTGTGACGGCGGATGTGCGATCGAAGGTTGGAAGACTAGCAGAGAGGCATGGGCGGGTGAAATTTATTGTCGGAGCAAAGACCCAGCAGCTGTTGAGATCGCTCGCCACAAGCACAAACCTGAACAAAGCCTCGGCCGCAGATGTGACAAACATGATCTTTGATGTTGAGATGAATCTTATTGTGTATCTAAACACGCATCGGGGGGCACGGGTGACAAGGCGTGAACACTCTACGTGCTGCTTGAGTATGGCACGGGTAGACGAATCCACCTCTTGGCCCTTTGATTTCCTGTCTCTTGTCTCGTGTGATCTTCGCGGCAAACTTACGCTCAGATGGCTGCGTCGGGCAAAGCGTTTGCCGCATTTCTAAAAAGAGGACAAAACGCCAAGCTGCTTGAGTTTTTTTGTGCTTGGTGCTTGACTGGAAACCGCAAACGAGTAAACTCACGTCACACTCGAAGCGCTTGACCTTGGTGTGGGACAAGTTGTGAATCTAGAGGCACAATTCCATTGAGTGCGCTTGATGAATGGAACGAGACAGTTTGGACGACTTGGCAAAGAGGCAGGCGCACACCTCCAGGGCGGAACGAGAGATGAAGTTGCGGCAGCAGATGGAGCAGTGGAATTCACCGACGGTGGTGGCTTTTAGGAGTTTGATGGCAGAGGTGGCCTGCCCCGGCGAGGCCTGCGGCGAGCTTTGTTGGGAAGATTCTCCGGAGCTTGAAGACTCAAGGGAGCTCCACGGACGCTTCTGATCACGAGAACGCAACAGCAAGGGGTGAGAGGCGGCGCCAGCAACGAACTTTGTGCAAAATCATCACCAGTTGCTCTGCAGTAGCGACAAGCGGAGTGAAAGTGATTGGCTGACCATGGGGGACCGCGGCGTGGGTAGCTGCGCGCTACGCTGCATGCTCTGATATTGCCGCAGCTTTTCCCCAGTCCAAGGCGCCACGTTGACATGGGGGACAACAACAACCAGCGGGTCCAATGGGTCCAGCTCGAGGTCATCAAGTGGAGGCTCGATGGGCCCAATCGGCAGCCAAACCTCGTCCAAAGGCAGGGGCGCACCGTGATTTGCGCTCACACAAGCTGCTGGAGCCGATGGAACAAGCCGAGAGGTGGCGGCATAGCTGGATATCTCGCTCAGGGGATCCAGGAGCTCCATGGTGGCCTCGTGCTGAGGCGCAAAGGGGTCGGTTGGGGCAGATTGCAGGAATGGGTTTCCGCGGGGCGGCGTGGTTTGGGAAGGAAACACGAACATGAAAAGTGTCTATGGTCACGGGGCGTCGAGGCTGCCAATTCGACTCTTCTGCCAAAAGCAGGAATAAGGTTCACAAGGTGGAGGCGCGGCAAGTGCTTGGCTCAAGTTGAACGACGAGGCGGGAGCAGAAAAATACGTTGCCATGTTCGCCATGGGTGGCGATATTGCTGCACGTTCAACGGCCATCATGAGACCTGCCGGTTGAGCCAGACATGTGGCGGCTCCACACAAACCGCACACAAGAGCAGGCTTGAGAGCACGAGAGCGGGAGTAGGCAGTAGGCTAGATCACTGCTGGTGAGCCTCGTTGCACGGGGTGATGCGGTCGTTCCCCAAGCAACACCGACGCCCGCCTTTGTCCCAAACCCAACCACGCCCCCGCCCCCCCCAGCCGCCTAGCGTATTGCAGCATACCCAGCCATCTGCTTGACTGGGCACGGGGGCAGCCAGCTTTGTCCGTTGGTGTGGACCTCCATGGCCATCGCTCGGCGACGGAGTCACGGATTGCCAAGACAACACCCCGACACTGGCGCTGCTTGCGCAAGCAGCGCGGTTTGACAACGGTCATCTACAACAGCTGTTGTCAAATATAGTTGTCAGCATATGCGGAAGTGTGGTGCGGACACACTGAACAGGAATTTGTCTGACATTAGAGCACCCCGCACGAGCGATGAAGGACCGTGAGTGAGAGAGTGTGCATGAGCAGGGGAAATTTTTCAGAGGTTTCCTCAAAGCGCGGCATACGAGCTAGCGTTGCAACAAAGGCAAATACAGAGAATTGTGTTGGCGCTGGCGTTGGTGACAGAGATTCGAATGGGTGCTGAGGCGAGTCATTTCCCCGAGCGTGCACTGACGGCAACGGCGGCGGCGGCGACCAGAAGAAGCAGTGCGAGCGAGCGCGCGCGGAGCCTCGTCGCCTGGGAGGGGGGCACGCTTCACGCACGACGTCCCATAGAGGCGCTGGTGAGGCTGAAGCTGGGTATCGTTGAGCCGATCCGGCCCGCCTTTCTTTCTTCTTTTGCCTTTTTTCCAAGATGGACGCCATGATCAAGGAACGGAGTCGCCTCGTCAATGCGCGTCTGCGCGATGAACACAACCATGAATCCGGCTGGAAGATGGCCCGCACCCCTTCCGACGAGGATTTGTGGAAACGCATCCAGAAACAGAACGACGATGCCATCGCTCAGGTTGGTGGCGCGCTTGCATTTAGTTGGTGGGCAGCGAATGCAGAGGCAGGGCTTCGGTGACCATCAGGCTGGTTAGGGCTGGCGTTGGTGCTGTATACTCTGTTCATGGATCGCATGACGTGCTTCTTTTGTACCGGTGCTTATGCCATGTCGTTCACAGCAAATCCAAGCTGATTCAGCCCCGGTCGAGGCCGGAGCCATCGAGACTGGCGAGGGCTATTCTCAGGTCGAATCCTCTTCTTGCTCGCATGCACTTCGTCCGTCGCCCTGCCTATGCCGACTCACTCTTCTTCTTCTTTTTCCGATCTGGCTTCCGGTAGGCTGACTTTTTGGCCTTGCTGAGTGGCGCAGCAGCGCCAGCACTCTCAGAGGACGATGAATCTGCCAGCATGGACACGAGCGCCGACGCTTCACCAGCCCCAGCACCACCAGCCCAAGCGGGGAATCGACCCGTGCGCGCCGATTGGACTTTTGACCGGGCCTCATACAAGCCTGCGTTGGCTATGGACCCCGCTGCCCGTGCCCTCAAACTTCGCCAAACCATGGCCAAAAGCGTACGCACCACTACCACCCAGTCCACGTCTGACACCCCCACCCCATTGGCTCACCTGCCCGGTCGCGACTCTTGTCCAATCACCTGTCTTGTCCCAACAGCGCCGGCGTGGGCATGCTGGCTCCAAACGAACGATCTTGCACAGTCGTGCCGTGGATGATGCCGACGTGAATCTGAGTCTTCAAGCGGGAGAGGTGCGTCCAACTCGACCGTTTCAAAAGGCATCACGCGATCGCGTACACTCACACACTTTCTTTGAAAAACTCTGCCTAGGTGTTGACCAAGGCCAAGGTCACGCGCAGTCCTCTGGGCTCACGTGCGGAAAGCCGCGCTGAGAGCGAGGGTCAGGCATCCTTTGATTCCGCCCTCTCAGACAGCGGTGGCTTGCGCCGGGTGGGCAATAACCGCCCTGGCATGTTCTTCCCCGAGCCAAACGAGGCATCTGCCTATGATCGCCGTTTCTCCGTGGATCTGAACGAAGCGAGTCCGGACGATGATGAGACCACCGCCAAGCTTGAGCGAGCACTCAATCGCACCGACTCGATGCGCAGTCACGGTAGCGAAACGGGTCGCCCGCTCCCCTCAACTCGACCAGACCTTGATACGCTAGTGGAAGATGAGGACGACGATGGCCTGCCCAGCATCCATACCCCGCCCCCAACCGATGAGGTCGAGCCAAACTCCTCGGTCAGCATCAGTCAATATGATCGGGACTTCCGCGTCGCCTCCAGTGAGGCTTTGACAGAGGATTTGACTGAGGGTGCTGACGACGTATTTATTGCCGAAAGCGCGGCGAACACGGAAGAATGTGGGGCGACGTCCACGGAGGCCGCCGAGGGCACCGTCGTCATGCGCCGTGCCTCCTTTGCCATGGCAGCTCCAGGACGGCGCACCTCCTACGTGGGCCTGGTCCCTGCCGTCACCGTACAAGAACCGTCCAAGAGCCCCGTGCGTTCGGACACCGCTGCGAGCCACCCGTACCAGCCCACCCACAAGGATGAACCTCGGGCAGCTGCCCCGACACCCCCTCTGCTCAGGCGGCGCTCCAACAGCAACCCTGAGCGCATGCAAGGCATTCTTAAGGTTTCCCTGCAAGCTCAGCAGAGCCTTGAGGTGAGCTGCGTGAAGTGGCCCATTGATGCGATTCGCTGCCCAGTCATTCAACACGTGCACCACGAGAATGCTATGATGCTCGTCCATTCACCCTGCTTTGCACCTCCTGGCGTTGTGTACTTTTGGTTAGGACGAACGTCAGAACCGGTCATGCACACCACCACCACCCCTTGAACGCCGCCACTCGGGCTCTTTGGATACCGCGTTGGACGCATTGGATGATGAAGATGAGGCGGGTCAGTCAAAGTGTTTTCGTTTCAAATGTCAAATCCAAAGTTGCCGTTCCTTGCTTTGTTTTGCTTTATATTGCTTTGCATGCTATGGGCTTGTTTTTTTGGTTTTGCTTTGTTTTTGGTTTTTGGTCTCTTTTCCAATGTCCGGCAGCCGGGGCGGCTCGTGGGATCTCGTGGGATCTTGTCAATGTCCACTCATATCCTTGAACGGGCTTTCGATGCATGCGACAGTTACGGGCGTGGCCCCAACTCTGGTGCGCAAGGGCACCATCACCAAGGGCATCAAGGCTCACAAGCATCGCAAGCGTGGTGGTGTGCGTGCCGCTGGGTCCCGGTCGCCACCCCAAGCCAACGTGGTGCCGACCAAAGCTCGAGCCGGGGCTGCCACCTTGGCGGATACGCCTCAGGCCATGGAAACACAGATGAGCGATGCTATTGCGGCAGAATCCAGCACTGAGGTGCCGACATGGAAGCGCGAGGCTTTGCGCCGACGCTCGGCTCGGCTGTCTAGCCGCCGCCAAAAATCGTCCAGCACTGAGCCTGAACCCAACTCGTCCGAAAACGAGCTCGCATCGGCACTTGAGCGCATTCGCCGGACTGGAAGTTTCAAGAAGACCAAGCCCTCGTCCAGTTCCGTTGGTACATCGGGACCAGCGACGATTCCTGAAGATCGGATCGCCTCGCATTCACCTGCTGCCGCTGCCACCTCGTCTGGGCGCCGCTCGCCTCGTGGCTCAGTGACGCTGCAGAATGAGTGGAATCGCGACTTTTCACAGGCAGAGTTGGATGCCATGCCACCTTGGAAGCGTGAGTTTGTGCTGCGCAAGCGCAGCTCGGCTCGGTTGCTGGATCCAACGTCTTAGGGCTGAGTGAATTGTGTGTTGGCGGTTCGCGCGCGCCGCCTCTCAGTGTGGCCGTCCGCCCCTGTGTGTCCGTCTGGTCGCCAGCACGCGTTTGCGACTTGTTTTTTGTCCATATTCATGCTCTCTTCATTCTAGCAACCTATCCTAAACAAACTGTGTTCTCGAGCAGGGCTTTTTACCCAAGAAGCGCTGGTCGTCGTTGTCGTTGTCGTGACTGCTGTTTTCTATCGACAGTGTCCCGGTTTTTATGTTGTTTCGGTTTGCGGTCGCTGCTGGGCACAGCACCAACGTATGTCAGGTTTACGAAACATGAGTTTTTTTGGAGTGTAAGTGACCTCAATCAAGTGAGTGAGCGAAGCCTTTTCTTTCATCTATCAAAATCAATTTCACGAGTCAGAGGGAGTGGAGGTATGAACCAGCGCTTGTTCCGCTGCTCAGGGAAAACGCGGGCCGGAAGGCAAAGAGGCTGTAACACCGGCACGGCACCATTGAGGCGCAGCTTGATGCAAGATGGGGACGTGCCAGTTGCCTCTTTACTGAGCCTTGGCCTTTTTGCCTTCGATGGCGGCCTTGACCTGATGTTGGGGAATGAACCGATGTGTCAAGTGCCAATGCAGGTCATGAGCGTTGCCATGATGATGACATGGGCTGGTGCGGTGCGACATCGTGTGCGTGTATTAACGGCACCACAAAGGCGTTTGCAAGGCCCATGACGGAAAAGAGACGTACAATGTGGCGCTCGTGGGAGCGGATGACGCGCTCCAGAAAGAATTGGCCGTTCCAGTAGAAGGTGATAATGACCACCCAAACGGCATAGCGGGCAATATGGGGTTCGACCAATGGGCGAGCTGAGTATTCCAGGCGATCCGGAATGGTCGGGTCCTCATAGCGCTTGACGGCCTCGACATAGTTGTGGTAGGTCAGCCACGCGTGCACGAGGCAGCCTGTTGATCAATCACGAGGAGGCGGAGAGGTCGGGTGGTAATGAGCCGCCAGATTGAGGGCAGGCCTGGGTGCATTGGCTATGGCTTATGTGCTTTTCAAACGTGTGGTGGATGTCCGAGCCCAGATTTTGTACATACCAGGGGCGCGCACCCAGAGCTGAATGTAGTTGTTGTAGTACTTCTCATCCAGCTTGCTAATCCAACCCAGCTTGATCATGACCAGCATCATGTAATCGAGGCCACCTAGGGAGCAAATGGAAAGCAGCGAATGAGGCGCGTTGGTGACAAGGGGGTTCGCGCGCTGGTGCAGTCGATCGGCAACCACAAAAGTTTTGCTGATCCGATGCGGGGTCGCCCTTTTACCTGGTAAACCGCTAGCATAAAAGGCGCCGTGACCAAGGAGGTGACCGGGGGCCAAGAGGTAGGCGATGGGAAGCATGACGACCACCATAACGACGTGGTGCACCTAGCGGGACGGGCAGGTGAGATCTTGATGTATCTGGTGTCGACGTGGACTGCAAAAGTGGTGGCGCTGGCATCAAGAGGCATGGGGCGAGGAGAGAGCAGGACAGACCCAGTCGATGAAATCCAGAGGCTGGTAAAAGGCAATGTGGTACAAGTGAAGGGCATAGATGGCCATCACGCCGCGGGTATTGCAGGGGCCAAGGAATGCAACGCTGGGATCGCTGTAGGTGGCGATGATATCGGGCAGGTGCTCGAAGACGACGTAGGCGTTGATGATGACGTGGAGGGAGAAGTAGCGGGTGGCGCTGTTTTTCTCGGGGAACCACTTGATGCGGACGAGGATGAAATCGAGAACAAAAATTGCCACAAACCACATGAGCGCATACTGGACATCGCCCATGAGGTCAAGCGGCACGCCCGTGTCATCCGTGGTGATGTTTTCGATGGTGTACTTCATGGCGGCGGTCGTGGCTGGTCCGAGGTGTGGCAATGCCTGTGTCGCGTTGAGCGAGAAGCAACACATGTGGCACGTGAGCGACTTGGCGACACGCGAAAGCCGACGGTGCTGGGTTCCAACACGTTGAGCAGCGAGGTGACAGAAGCATCGAGGCCACAAAGCGCAAAGAACATCAGTCCCAGTGGCAGTGCAGAGTGAAGCAAGGGTGTGGCCAGTGGAGGCAAGGCTTGCAGCATCACGCACGATTGGCCACCACTGGGTGCGCCACACTGCCATCCATGTACTGCCTTGCGCACCCCCCAACACCACCAACAGCAACCCGGAGATAGACAGACAAGAAAACAATCGAACAAGACGAAGGATCCAGAGGCAGGAAGCCACGCCCAGGGCCACTGGCTTCCCGGCAGGCGCAACGTACCTCAAGGACCTGAAGCTGCCAAAATCAAAAATGCAGCCGGGTGTGGCCAACGCAGCTGCTTATCGTGTATATAACTACCAAAACTGCTGCAATAATTAACACGGTGGGCATTAACAAAACTACTACAAATGAGATATTTGTTACATGTAATCCCTTGTTCGTATCAACTCGTGTTTATTGTTGTGGTTCATTTTGACGACTTGATCTCTCTCTCTTGATCTCTCTCTCTTGATCTCTCTTGATCTCTCTTTCTCTCTCTCTTGATCTCTCTCCTCCCTTTCTCTCTCTGTGTTGATCTCTCTCTGTATTGGCTCCCTGACTGGCATATGTCGCCGGTTGCCACCTTGTACGCCTTGCATATGTCTCTCACGGTTTTTTTTGGCTGCCTCTCTTGTCTTGTCCCACTCGTGTGGCTCTCAATCTACACCGGAAGTATCCCATCGATCCTCCAAAAAACTTCAAAACGTTGCTGTAGACACGCATACACTCAATGTCATAAGCTACCGCACGTGCGTCGGTTTTGGACGCCACCACGATCTCAGCTCTGTGAAGGCACTTGAGTAGGCCACTGAACCATGAGCCCATTGTGACATGATCCTGCCTTGCTTGGGCTCAAAGAGTCCCGATAACTCGTATCCGGCGCCCCGCCCCGCCCCGCTCGCCTCGCTCGTGGCCAGCCACCACCCGCTGCCCATAAGAGAGCCCAAACAGGACCAATGTGTTTGCAACAGTAGTTACGCACAAACATACCCGTCCTGTAAAAGAATATTTTCAAATTTAGAGAATTTATCTATACTGTGACGGGGACACACTTCCCAAAGATGCTACCAAGTGGCAGTCATCGAGCCTGGTCAAAGGTGTTGGTGAAGATTTTGAATCAGTTTGAGGGGAGAAAACACGTGCACACCTATTCACAGCCAGAGCACACGCGAATGCCCCACTTTTCTCTCCTCGCGGACCGTCAACATGAAGGTGTGTACTCTTATCCCCTTGTCCTTGTCTCTCTCTCTCCTTCCTTCTCTCTCTCTTTGGCGATGGCAGCGCCATCCTGGTGGACCGTGAGGGAGGGGAGAGGGTGGTCGACCTGGGCGTGATGGTTGGCGGTTTGTTTGGCTTGGTTGTGTGGAGGGTCTTGGTTGGATTGCCAGCTGCCTGCCGGGTCGCGTGGAATGCAAATGCACACGCTGTCTGCCTAGCTCAGGCTCGTCAGGCCAGGGCCCTCTGAGCGGTGCACCATGTCCTCGCTCTCGTCCTGTGCGTTGATTGGCGGGGGCATGGATGCAAGTACAAGGCGGCAACCCGTTGACGATAGCAGGAATCTCAGCAGAAGGGGCTCGCACAATCACGTTGAATCTTTTTTTAGTTTGAGTTCTAGACGAGCGTATCATGTCGATCGTCTTTTTTTTTTCTTTTTTCTGTCGTGGATGCATGTTCGATGGCAGTGTCACTCAGTCAAGTCGCGCCATGTTTGAGTGAACCGTGCGTGTCTTCTCACTTTTTTCTTCTCTGTGTAGTTGAACATTTCGTACCCGCCCAACGGTACGCAGAAGACGTACGACTTCGAGAACGAGGCCGCTGTGCGCCCCTTCTACGAGAAGCGCATCTCGGCTGAGGTCCCCGCTGACTCCCTCGGCGATGACTGGAAGGGCTACGTCCTCCGCATCTCCGGCGGTAACGACAAGCAGGGCTTCCCCATGCGTCAGGGTGTCCTCACCAACCGCCGCGTGAAGCTCCTCATGTCCGAGGGCCACTCTGGCTACCGCCCCCGCCGTTCTGGCGAGCGCAAGAAGAAGTCTGCTCGTGGTTGCATTGTCGACTCCAACCTGAGCGTCATCGCCTGCATCATTGTCCAGAAGGGCGAGAAGGAGATTGAGGGCCTGACCGGTGCGTCTTTGCTTGTGGTTCCACTTGCTCAACGTGTTTTCTCCGATGCAGATGCTTTGAGCCAAACCATCGCTATGCTTTTCTGGTGTCTGTGTGTTATGGACTGGACCTTTTGAGTGTACTCAACTGTGCTGCTTTTTGCCCTTGGAACTTTGCTCTGCATAGATGTCACCCGCCCTCGTCGCCTCGGACCCAAGCGCGCCAACAACATCCGCAAGCTGTTCAACCTGACCAAGGAGGACGATGTGCGCAAGTACGTCATCCGCCGCAAGATCGAGAAGGACGGCAAGGTTGTCAACACCAAGGCCCCCAAGATCCAGCGTCTGATCACCCCTGAGCGTCTGCAGCGCAAGCGTTGCGAGCTCGCCCAGAAGCGTGCCAACCGCGCCCACCAGAACCAGCTCAAGGCCGAGTACTCTGAGATGCTCGCCAAGCTGCAGAAGGAGCGCGCTGATGCTCGCGCCGCCCTGCACCAGAAGCGTCGTATCTCGTCGCGCAAGTCGGAGAGCAAGTCGGAGAGCAAGGCGTAAATGCCTCCCCCATTCTTCTCATTCTCGCCACCGCCTGAGTCCGCGCAGGCATGCTGCTCTTCGAATAAAACACCCTGCCAAGCCTTTTGTGGTTGAATCGTGACACTGCGCCTTGTCTCCTGCCTTGCCGTGTCACTGTGCTTCGCACGGGAGCGATTTAATGACATAGTAAAGAATTGACGGGGATCAGCCATTTGTTTGAATTACTCTTCATGCCCAAGTCTTACTCAATGCGCATTTGTGTGGCAATTTCTCGTCACCGCTTGCACACTGATTCAAGGTCGTTCAACTGGTTTCAACCATTTTCATGTTGATGCGAGGCACAACTTTGAAGGCATGATTGAACAGTGGATTCATCCGAGCTCAGCTCATCGCGAACCACCGGTTTCAACATCTATGCATCCTGTCATCAAGATTCCTGAGCTGTTTGGGGTGAGGTTGGCGTTGGCGTTGGTGGCGTGGCCGGCCGCGAAGGCAACTCTATGGCAGCCAAAGACTGCCAAGCCGGGTTGTTCTGAATTCGGCCGGTGAACAAATGGCGCAGCCAATGCCAATGGTCCTGGAAGCGCTCCGGGTCAGTTTCAGACCGAATTTGGAACCGCTTGAGCGCACCGGCTCGGTCGTGCGCCAACAAGTCGTGCGCCTCACGTAAATCTCGAACCAACGCCACCGGAACCATGCACAAGGGCCCAGCATCAGTGCCTGCAAACATGGCCTCAGTGGAGGTGCCCACAGAGCTTTTCTCAACCGGCCGGGGCGAGGTAGCAACAGTTTGTTGAGTGACGGGTTGTGGTGCCCTGTGGCGTCGTTTACGCGGCGGCGCGCGTAGGCGCTTGGTCCGATGAGGCCCACCGTTCACCTCTTCGTCACCCAAATCGTGACTGGAGTCTGAATCGAGGTATACAGGTGGCCGCTTGCCATGGTGCAGCGCAGCCGGTCGCTCTTGCTCGAACCGAGCCTCGCGTTCAAAGGGCGACTCTGCCACCCCCCGCACTCTGGACTTTTGGTGCAGGTCGAGCCGGTGAGCAGTATGAGGCGGCTCAGAGAGCTTCTCCTCGGTCTTGACGGGACTCGACACCAGGAAATCCTCCTCAGCCGCACTCCACGGCTGTACATTATTATTCACATCCACCGTCTCCACCTCGCTGCGATCATCATATGAACTACTAGTGTCCTCAACAAAAACAGTCGACGCCTCGTGATGATCTTCCACAGACCCCGCCTCTCCGTCCATCTCCGCACCCACATCTGCCATGGATCCTGCTTCGTCCTCCTCAAATTCACCCTCTTCTGGCCCATCGCCTTCGGCCGAGTCAATGGTCACGGGGCCCGCTGCACGTCGGCCGGCAACCATGGCTCGACCTCGGCTGAGCACGCTTTTTGTCGCCGAAGACACCGCGCGGGGTAAAGAGGCAGCTGTCTTACTTGGAGGCGCCTTGTGAGTTGGTGTTCCCAGGAGTTTGGTGGCCCTGGGCTGCTGCAAGGACAAAGTCAAGCGCAGGGGGGGGTTGGGATTGTTGATGGCGGTTCGCTTGCCCGCAAGCACGTCCAGACAAGTAGGACAATAGTCGGCTTGCGTTGGAAGGGGTGGATCATACACGCAGGCCAAGTCAAAGCCGCGATCGCAGCGTTCACAAAGAAGCACCTAGACTCGGGCGAGCAGCATGAAGCGGTCAGGGCGGCGCCGAAAGCAGAACAGGAGATTTGTGGAAATGAAGTGGATGCTGGAGAAGCAAGGCCGCACCGACTCTGAATCTTTCCCACAGACGTAGCAGCTCCGACACTCGAGGCATTCCCACTAGCGACCAGACACAGGTGATGGATGAGCAAGCCGCCCCAGCAGGCATGATGCTGCAGCGCTCTGCAGCATCATAAGGAAATGAAAAGGAGGTTTGAAGGTCGTGGGCTTGGTTTGGGTGTTTTTGCTCCTGTGTGTGTGTGTGTGTGTGTGTTTGTTCCGAATCCTATTGCTGTTCCTGATCCTGACCCTGCTCGTTTTTGATTGGCTGCGCGGTGGGGCCATCAAGCAGAGTTGGAACAGAACAAGATAAGGCTTACATTCCACTCGGTGGTGCAGATGCGATATTTCTCTTCACTGTAGTTGAGACGATTGGTGATGCAGTCGTGGCATGCAGCTTGGGTGTTGCACTTGGAACACACGAGACGACGAGGTCCTGCAATGGCCAGCAAATTCGGACACAGGGAGCACCATTCATTGATTTTTGTCTCCTGGTTGCCAAGTAGACGCTCCCATTGCTGTCAGGCAAAGGCGTGAACGCAGCCAAGGGCGTGAGTGCAGCAGCAAGGGAGGGCTCCCACACAAATAAGCATCCACCAGTGAGACTCCAGTATGCAACGTGGAAACTTACAAGATTGTGTTCTTCATCCCGGCCAACGATGCGCATGGACCCGCTGTACTGATTGAATTCTTTGAGCAAGTTGGAAGGAACCTGGCTACCTGGAAGCCATCGTCCAGTTGTGCTGTGAATTGCACAACACCCAAACGCGCACGAAAGTCAGCACTGCCAAATCATGTTGGCGGCAGCAGCGACAAGTCTAACAATGGGCATCGTGCGCTGGCAGATTCTACGCCACACTAGACCACGCGCTACCAAACACTCTGGACAAGCATGGGCAGGGCGACTGCTTGACTTTGGACAACACCTACCGAGTTTCGCGGTCATCGACGACCAAGTACTCAAGAGGGCCCTTGGACGCAAACCGGCGTCCCGCGAGAACCACGGGCCGCATGGTCATGTCCACCAGTCAGTGTTGGGTCCTTTTTTGCCCAGTCAAAGGGACAAGGCCGCATGTCCCGCGCGAGGGCTGGACGCGCGCCAAGCCGTCTTTGCCACACCTCAACCAACACGCAAATCACACACAATGCCTGACCGAGAGGGATGATCGATGCTCCTAGTGCCCGTCTGCCTCACACACACGCCTGCCGCTGTGGAGCCCCGCATGAGCCGACCCAATCAGCCGTCACAAAGACGCCCCAAGCACACCGCCACTCTCGCACACATCCAGCTCGAGCATGCGCACGGCGCGCGAGCAAAGAGAGAGAGAGAGAGAGAGAGAGAGAGAGAGCGTGTGTGTGTGAAGAGGGCGTGAAGGAAAGTGTGAAGTAGTGTAACATTTGGTTTTAAAAGTCTGACAAATCGCGACTTGACCTGAGCTCCCACGCCCCTTATGCTTTGGGCACAGACTCGGGTGGTGGTCGGCGGCGGTTTGCGATGTGGCAGGGCACAGGGAAGAAGATCATGGTAGCGGCTGGCAGTCGTAAGGGTGGAGGCAAGGTTGTCGAGCTCCATCTGGGTGGCCTGAAGCAGGTGAAATGTCGGATTGACCATGAGGGGCTTCTACGAGTAAACAATTGGAAATAATTGTGTGGAAAATACGCGGAAAATCATGGGAAAATTCTTTGGTTTTGATTCAGCCGAGGGCGACGACCTGATGACGCGGGTGCTTGAGCAAAGCAGTCTTTATGAGCCCCCCCGTGCATAAATCTGCTGGTGCTCTCCAGTTCTAGGCCCTCTCTTAGTCCGGGTAGATTAGATGAGAGCTAGAGCTGTCATATGGTGCAATTCTTTACAGCTGCAAATTCGCAACCTCGACATGAGCACATTCACCCGAGGTGTTCACTCTTTGCAGGCCAGAACCAAATTCAACCTTCAAATGTAAGCGTCGTGCGCTGGCCAGCCCACCGAGCCACATCTGTCAACTGTCAAACGGCGCCATCCCATTTCAACGTGCTGACAAGCATCAACCGCTCAGCAACAAAACCCATGGTTACGCATTTCTGTATGCACATCGGACATCCGGCCTTTCTTTTTATGGAAGTAAGCTGAAAAGGCCTTTTCACGCTACTTGTGGGGCTTCTTGCATGTTGCCTCGGACCAGAATGAAGCTCATGCATCCAGCGGAGCAGAAGGTACCGTTTACAATAGCCATCTCAAATAGCCGAGAAGCACTGTAGTGCAGGCACGGGCGCCTCTTCCCTACCGTTCCGCGTCGAGCCAGCACGATGAAAAACTGAGCATCGCCAAATTGTCAGACGATGTGGGTTGTCAGATAAATGATTGCGACCGTTTGAAGCCGTTTTTTTTTGTTCTCGTGCGTGTGTGTGTGTGACCGTTTTTTTTTCATTTGAAACGGCAGCGGGTGACAGGGCGACGAGCGTAGCAGCCCGACAAGGCGCCTGATATCACGGCAGGTAGGTCATCACGCGCATGCGCGCAAGTGACGGTGCGCTGTTGTGTCTGTTGTTCCCGGACTATCGTCCAAAGGAGGAGCGGGCTTGCGGCAGTTGACGAGCTGGGCATAGGACACCAGAATGGCTGCCACCGGCTTGGGCTTTGCCGAGACGCGCCAGGAGCTGAGGCTGCTGCGCAGCCTCTTGTGCTGTTCACTCTGGTACGTTGGAAACATGTGTATTTGGCATCAGCATCAACAACGGCCTCCACGCACCCGCATACTCAACTCGACTGGTGGTTGACCTTTAGCAACTCTGGCCGGATCGAGAAGCCGTTCTATCTGGTGACGTGTGGTCATTACTTTTGCAAGTACGGCCTGGTCCTCTCGTCTCCTTGCGCCATCATTGCCGTCTGCCTCACATGAATGTATCATCTGTATCCTGTGTTGCAGAGAATGCATTGTTAGCAAGCTTCAAGAGCAAAGCTCTTGTCCCGAATGTCACCTGCCCGCGGTGCCCAAGGACTTGCGCTCGGAAGACAAGGTCATCTTTTGCCCTCACCTTGATATTCTGTTGACATGCTGAGTTGGCGCCCTTTCTTACCTGCTTGTACGTGCTTCCACTCCAAAGGTGGACGCAGCCGCTCGCTGCTGCTTGGCTCTGGAACAAACGCTTGACAAGCTCACCAGTCAGCCCCGGGGCCTCCTGGAACGCACCAACTTACCTCTGGGTCTCGGCTTTACACGCTCCAAGCGCTCACTCAGCCAGCAGTGCCCTGCATCCATCGAGCCCATGCTTGATCAGCCCTCCCTTGAATGCTCGTCCATCGATGATCTGAGCCTTCCGACGATAGACCTCCAGCCCCGAAAGGGCCGCTCTCGGCCGGCGTCGGCTCTTCGCTCTCAGTCTAAACCGCAGCCACAGATTTTGCCCGCCGCCGCGAGCAATTCGGTGTCAAGCAATTCGGTGTCAAAGGATGTGACTTCCTTCCAGCAGGCTTCGCCAGCAGCCAAAAATGTCAATGACTCCCAGACCTCACCACTGCCAGACGCCAACGGCAACACGAGCATTCAGGCAGAGACGGAACCAAAGCGGGCCAAGCGGGCCAAGCCGGCCAAACGCACCAAGCGCACACGATCTGCCACCATCAATGACCCAACATCAGCAGCAGACGGCAAAATCAAGTCCGGGGTCAAGTGGCGTCGATCCAACTCCCTCAAGACTGCTACGCCTGACGCGGCCGCGGACAGCCCAGTCTCTGACGATGTGCAAAGTTCAGCAGATGACAAGAGTGAGATTATTGACATCAAGCCAATTATTCCCGACGCTTCTGACATTCACACTCCAAATGCCAGTCGTCAAGGCGCCAAGCCACGCTCAGCTCGCAAGGTCCGTTGCGCCTGTTTGCTATCCTCCTCGGACCCCGATCTAGATCGGACCGGAATCAAGTCGCCTTGACACACGCACACGCTTGCTCCTGGCTCATTGGCGTGCTCTGTGTCTTGTTGTGGGTCTGCAATGGTGTTAGTCGCCCAAGACACATGTCAATTCCGTCGGCGAATCGCTGCTTCAGTGTGCCTGCAAGCGACCGTACGTGCTCTGCATGGTGGCGACCTCCGTTCCGGTCACCCGACATTGCACTCATACAATTGGGGGGCTCTTTTTTCTGCTCGCGACTTGCCGTCAGAACGCCAAAGATGGAAGTCATCACCAAGCTCTTGGAAGAGGGCGCGCACGTCAACCATCGCGACTATAATGGTTGGAGCCCATTGGTATGTCCTGACCCACTTACCCATTGCCGAGCCCCCTCCTCCCCCTGACCCTTTGGTTGGCTCACCCGTTTCCATGCACCGCAGCACGAGGCCGTGGCGCTGGGCCATCTTGCCGTCGTGCAACTACTGCTCACTCACAACGCCGATCCAAACCTACAAAGCCACAGTCGCACCACCCCGCTCCACGACGCAGTCATCAATGATGACGTAGCACTCGTACAGGTTAGTCATGGGCACGTGCAGAGTTCTCCTGCTTGCCACTGGTTGCCAGCCGTCGCGCGGTGTTCGTGCCTGCTATCTCCTCATGTGTCACGTGTGGTGCTAAAACAAAACACCCAACATGTAGGCTTTGATCCAAGCGGGGGGCAACCCGTATCTGACCACGGATCGTGGTCAGAGTGCCCTTGACCTTGCTCGCAGCGAAGGTGTCAAGTCTGTGTTGCAATCAGCCCCCCCGCCCCCCGCCCCCGGTACCGCCACCAAGGCCGCCGTGGGCAAGGACGGCATGAGTCCCATCCGCTTTATTGCCATCTCGGGGCTGGACGCCGACAGCAAGGTGTGTGCCATATCATGGAAAGCGCCATAAAAGGAACCGGGTTGCTGCCTGGCCATTTCAGTGGCTGATAAACTTGAATGTGACTTGGTGATGATAGGCATTAGTAGAGGAACTATGCCAACAGTTTGAGTTGGAGCTATGCCCTGAAGTCAACGAGTCTGGTACGCTAATAACATATTTTTTTTTGTTTCTCTGTGACACAGTATATGGCACCTCACAATTGGTTGTTTGGGGTGGGCAACACCACTTTGCATCGCAGTGGACGTGGTGATTATGGAAGCCGACGAGAAGGGCCTTGTGAAGCGCACCTTGAAGTATCTCGCCGCTTTGCTCTGCGGTTGCTGGATCGTCAATGCCACATGTGCGTTTTGTTCCAATCTTGCTTTTTTTTTTTTTAAAGGTCTGAGCACGAGGTTTTCGGCATGCTGTGACTTGATTGGTACTCATCTGGTCCATGTGCAGACTTGCGCGAGTGTCTGGAAGCACAACGACTTTTACCGTGCGAGGCATTTGAGGTCAAGGGGTGTTCTTCCACCTCGCATGTGGTGCGTCGGCAGTAAATACACTCGAGACATGCGGCGAGACCACCGTGTGACGTGTCATTTATTGGCGTTGTCCATCAATGCGTGTCTGTGGAAGCATCATGCGCCGCGCCAACTCACCTCATGGCTTCAATTTTCCCCTTTGCATTTTCCCCTTTGTAATTCTGCCAAATATGTTTGTCCTAGGATGTGCCACAGTTGGCGCGAATCTCACGGATGAGCAACGTCAAGCCACTTTTTGACAGCGTGTCTTTTTTCATCGAGGGATCGACTCGCCGCACTTCCGGCACAGCGGCAGGCACACCTCCCAACGCCGATCTTCGCCGCCTCATCGAGCTTGGTGGTGGCAAGGTCAGCGTCCAAATTCCTGGCATGGGGTTCAAAAAAAAGCTCAACTCACGGATCCTGGTCTTGTGTAGGTGGTCACGCGCCGAAGCGAGTCGACCGTGGTGTTGCGAAGCTCGATGCCACGACACCCGAGGCGCTCGCAATCTTCAGGCAATTGCTTCACGCCAGCGGATCTACTCGATTGCATTGCCAATCAAGAGTTTCTACCATCTCTTTCCTAAATGCCTACCGACCAGGGCGCTAGCTTGCGAGTATTGCTGGCTGCCCCTCTCAGAACCAAATCATTCACTACTGCAGAAGGAAAACGTTGTCGTTGATTCAGTGCTGCAGTTCCTTTCTTTTACTTGTTGTCCTCTTCGCTTGCTGTTCATGGCCAGCTAACCACGGCGCCTCTAGCATAATCGACCTATCTTGCCAGTTTCACGAGCCTCTTGCCACGTTTTTTCCAACGCCCGCGATCCCCACCCCCCTCTCAACCTCTCGTGCCTTCTCATGATCATATGGGGGTTGTTGATGTTTTTTTTTCAGAACAACAACAAAAAAAAAAAAAAAAAAAAAAAAAAAATGAAAAGCGATCGTACAACATAAAATGCGAAAAAAGCGAAACAGTTGCAGATATAGTAATATGTGTAGTTGTAATTAATGCAGCAGTTTCTGATGTTATTGTCGCTGCCTTTGAACTGTGACTCCTCTTCCTTGCTTCTGCTGCTTGCTGTGTGCTCCTCCATCATCCTCCATCGCGGTGACCGCTTCTCCTTGCTGCTGCTGCTTCTGCTGCTGCTGCTGCTGCTGCTTCTCCTTGCTGCCGTCGCTGCTGGGGGCGGCTGTTACTTGTTTGGTTGGGGTTGGGGGAGGGCGGGGGTGTTGCGGACGGTTTCGCCTTGTCCCTGGAGCTGCCTTTGGCGGATCGGAGTTTGATAGTTTGTGGTCCAGAGCCGCGCTCGCTTCCTTGGAGGGGCTCAGCTTCCGGCCTGTGGGCCGAGCGGGATCAAACCTGTGGGTGCAGTGACTGCCTCTGCAAAACCACACTGGCAAAGTTGAGCACGAGCAATGGCGGCGAGCCTGTGGTGTCTGGATACTCTGATCGACAACATCTCAAGCCTGCTGGGGAGGATTCCTGTTTAGCTCAAAACCGCACTCGAATCGACACGGCTGCGTCCGATACGCTGGACTGCAGGTTGAAACTCGTCGTGTTTGCCACGGCTTGACCGTCCAGCCATGGAGCATATCACGGGACGCCTGCCCAAAATGGAAGGCTGGACGCTCTTCTTTGTGCGTTTCAAATCCACGCTCACGGCCCTCGATCAAACGCGTGTTTGGTTGCTGCTGTGCCTTTGCTCCACAGCGCCCTCTTGCGATGCAAACCTTGCGCACTGACGGGTTCATCTTTCTTGATCTGGCCCCCAATAGATGGTAACGGGTGGCTGGGCGCTGATGGGGTGGCTGTGCTTTGCGTCCTTCTTTGGCTTTTGGGCGGCCAGTAAACTTTTCATTTTGCTCGTGGTCACCTTGATCAGGTCAGCCACCCTGTACATTGTCCAAGACGTGCGCCTTGCAGGCATCTCTTCTGGCGCATTCTTACCCAACACCAATGATCCTCTTCCTTCGTGCGTGATGTAGTGCCCTTGGTATCCTCTGGCACTTGTTTCTCCAGCATGGGCAGCAACACTCTGCTAAGCAACCCACTTCCAAATTAGCAAGCCCCTCTACATTTCGCCTCGGCTTGTCGTTTGTGCGTGCCAGGACGGTTTAAAGGCAGCCCGGCCCATTCTCCACCGTGCTTGCCTTTCTCTTGGCTCATGTCACCCGTACATCGGCTTGCCTTGCCCCTCTTACAGCCCGAGGTGCATCCCGTGCCCCGCGTGGACAAACGCGTGAGCGGCGCCTTGGTGATTGATGAGAAGATCCAAACGGTTTGTTCATCGCATAGTAATTTGTTTTGGCTCTGTCCGGGTCGGCGTCCATCTCTGCCCGCTTCATCATGTTCCGCTCCCTAGGTCATCTCCCTGCTGCTGCGCGACTACCTCGAGTGGTGGTTCAAGTCTTCGAGTGACGATCAAGACTTTGTGATTGAATGCGAGCGGCTGATCCACAACATTCTCATCGAGCTTTCGGTTCGCTGCAAGGAGATTGACGTGACGGAGTTTGTGACGACAACCGTCGTTGACGTGCTCGTGAAGCATATTCGTTTGTACCGTGCCACCCAAGCCGAGGTGGCGAAGAAGTTCAAGGCCGTGGCCCCATCCAACGAGGCCGAGGCCATCAAGCTCGAGGTTTGTCCCATGCCACCGTAACCGGGGTGGTCGACCGGCGTTTTGCCCGTCATCACAAAGCTCAGTTCTGTATTGATGCTTGAGATGCAGAATGATCGAGCCGAGTTTTTCGTGCAGAAGGCCTTTAACAAACAGCAACTCAAGGGGATTTGCACCAAACCTGAGAACGAGCTGAGTTCGTTGTTGCTCTTTTGCTTCCGCCGGCTTCTTGCACAAAAATGGTTGCTCAAATCTTTGCTCATGGCTCAATGTGCGCGGCGGGACGGTGATGGGTCGAGCGCAGACTACCTTCGTGACGTGTCTGAAATGCTGCTGTACCTTCTTCTTCCCGAATCGGACTTTCGGGCCTTGCCCATGCGCTATGTTCTGCGGGTCAGTTGCCTCAAATCATGCCTCCTCAAGCTGCGAGTGGCCCAAGACCACTGCAAAAGCAAAACGTCTTGGCCCAGGGTTGACTGGATTCAACGTTCTTGCTGATGACGCATGGGCGTGGCCGTTGTATGGTACTTTTTCTGGGGAGCAGGAAATTTTGACAACGTGCACGTTTGCACCCACTTGGGCCATGATATCAGATGGCGACTACATCAATTCGTTTCCTGCTTGCTTACTGGACGAAAACTTGCTCTCCTATCAAGCCATTTTGGACGTGGCTAACATCTCCTCGGACGTGCAAGAGATCAAGTGGATGCTGCAGCGTGTTGAAGAAGCCATTCAGGCCACGGTCCAGTCTCAAGACGAGGTACGAGCGTGATACTATTGGTTTTGGTTATTGATACAGACAGCTGAACGAACAATCTCTGGGCCAGAGAGGAGGTGTTGGCAGGACAAAAGCTCCTCATCCGTCTGAATATGAGACGGTAACTGATTGAGCATCCTCACGAGCTTCTCCGCGATGCGATCCGGTTGCTACACAGGGGACGGTGCGCCAATCCTATCTTCACCAGATGGAGGCTCTTTTGTTTGCTCAGGTCCGGGTTCACGTCCCGACCGTGCTCCCCGTCGCCCTTGCGACCAGCCTGAGGCCAAAAAAACCAACCCACTCACTGCGTTTTCCTGTTAGGCTCAAGTGGCAAACCGATATGCTGTTTTGACGGGACGGCCACGGACACAATCAGCGCCCAGCACCAACTCGCAGCAGGAGATTCTACCACTCAAGTTTATCCTTCGCAACTCTGTTGCCATTGTCTACTTTGAAGAATTCATGCTGGCCAAAGAGCAGAGCCACCTGCTTGCATTTTGGCGTGAGGTTAGCAACTGGCGACGCAAAACCTTTGAAGCGCGAAGTCGCATGGCCAAGGTGAGTCGGCCCCCCTCTTCTCCTTCGATCTGGATGAAGGCCGGGATCTGTTTGCGTCGCCTAATGTTTGTTTTTCAAGCAGGAGACGCTTCCCGTTGAACGGATGCAGATGGCCGAGCGACGCATCAAGGAGGACGCGCTGCGCATCTTTTTCCTGGTGAGCACCTCATTTGGGTCATACTTGTGGCCGATCATTTCGACCCTTCCTACTTTGGTGGCTCCATCCTGCCTCATTTTGCGCTCTGGACTTGCTCCTTCATAGTACTTGACTGACGATGCAGAGCAGCACATTGCCATGCCGCTGGACTTGGTCGCAGAGACCCACGAGCTCATCTGTCAGTCCACAGCCGAGGTCACAGCCTTTGACCAAATTCACGCCACGGTGCGCTCATACCTCTCAAGGCTCCGTATGCCTCGTCAAAGGTTTCTTCCCGTGCTCTCCTTCTCATACGGCCTTTTACTTGGATGACATTGCCAGGTGCAAGAGCTGTTACATAGTGACTTTTATCCCGAATTCCTCAAGTCTGACGCTTATGATCGATGCCTGTACACGCTCAAATTTGACGATCAGTTGGATCCCGCTCAAGCTTCCATTCCAACCGCCACCGAGCCCGGTCCCGCAGGCAAGAGGCCTGCCCTGCATGAATGCTATCTCGCTGCTCATCTGGGGGCTCCGCATTGCGTTTCGCCGTTCTCGTGGCCTTGTGGGCCACTTCGCTTCCAACGACGCCTTGTCTTACACAGCACGCAACTTGTTCTTTATGCTTCTGACAGGTGCAGCACCAGAGGCGAGCGGGCCCGTGCTGCAGCAGCCGGTCTCGGCGGCAAGTGCGACAGATGGCAAAGACATCAACCTGGAGGAGCATGAATACGTGGGCTGGTGGAGCGCCGAGTTATTGGACCACGAGGAAGGCGAAGATGAGTCGCGCAAGTCGTTTACCGTCTACGTACTCAAGATTCGCTTCCAATCGGAGACCACCGGGGAGATTCGCGAATGGATTTGCAAGCGGCGCTACAGCGAGTTTGACAACTTTACCAACCGGGTACGTGGCTTTTCTTGTGCGCGAGGCGATTTCCTTAGGTGCATGCGATGCGAATTAACCCACCTTCACCTCAAATTGTGGTCAACTTGCCGCCGTGGCCTTTTGCAGCTCAAGGGGCTTTATCCCGATCTCAAGAGCCGCTTGAACTTGCCGAAAAAGAAGCTTATGGGTCGCAAAAACTCGGAGTTTGTGGAGAAACGCCAGTCCGGACTGCGCACATGGCTCAAGGAGCTGCTCAGCGTAGACACCCTGAAAAAACGTAAAGAGCTGCAAAAGGTCAGCACTTGCTCCCTGCAAGGTCCACCTCATCAAAGCCATCGAGTGCCAAGCTGAACTCGAACACGTACGCTGACACCGTCATATCACGGCAACTGGTTTTACATGCAGGAAATTGCCATTTTTTTGCGCGAGGGTACCTTTGAAAAAACCAACGTGTCTTTTGCGTCCAAAGTTCTTGGTCGCCACCGAGTATGGCTCTTCGCGCTCCCTTGATCACATCAGTCGTATGCGAGCGGTATGGCAATATGAAAACCTCACCTGACGCGTGTGCTTGACACTATTTTTGCGTCCTATGTGCTAGACGACAAGCATCCGCTCTGAGGAGGAGCACGACTCGGATGAGCAAAATTTGACGGAAGTACGAGCGTCGTGTCCATGTTATCACCTTATTTTGAACCAATCTGATATCGCATCCTTTGACATGGTGCTTGTGCTGACACTGGCTGTGTTCCTGTTGCCCACTCGAAACTTGTGCACCCCTATGCAATGTAGAGCTTGCAAAAGGACAACCTGTTGAGCATTTTGCTGCGCGTGGCAGAGGTGGTGTTTGAGCTCAATGCCAATCCGGTACGCATTGAAAACCAAAGTCACGAGGGGTGCCGCAACTCATATCTTGCTCTTGTTCCTCATCATGGCCTGACTGCCGCTGTGTGTGTGTGTGTGTGTGTGTGTGTGTGCAGTGGCTGCGACGTCGTGTGATGGGGATGCTCGAGACCTTTGTGACGGCCACGTATGGTTCGAGCATCAATCGCAAGGTCGGCGCCGCGATTGATGCCGCTTTTGCGCCGGATCAGGTGGCCGCGTGGGTCACGCAGTATCAAGAAGCCACCTGGCCCAATGACACGCTGGCCGTTGAGTTTCCCCCACGCACCCAGGTAAGCTTGGCAGTCTTTGCGAAACCATGCCGAGAACACTGGGGAGGCCTGTATTCGGATGTGCGCATGTGTCTGATTTGGCCTTTTTTTGGTGGCAGGATGCACGTGCCCTCACACGCCTTGAGGCTCGTCTGAAGCTACTGGGCTGCCTTCCCGATGAGGTCAAGGGCATTATTGGCCGCGAAACTGCCAAGCGCGGCGTTATGAGGTATGTCGACTTTGCTGACCGTGAACTCAACTCATTTTAATTTTGAAGAAGAGGGATGATTCGCTGCTGCAATTTGAGCGTACCTACCTAATGTACTACATGCACCTGCCTTGTCTGCACTGCGCAGTGTGTTTGACATGCTGCAGTATGCAGCGTTGAACAAACGCTTGTTTTATCAGCTTTTGGAGGCATTTATCATCAAGTTGTTTCCGGGCAACAAGCTTGAGGCGGCGTTTAATCGGTTCCATGCGGCGCATTGCAAATGATCTGTTCCCGTGTTGAGCCTTCATGGGCTTGTTATAGGAGGGGCCCGCTGCGGTCGTTTGTTTCGGCCTTTTTCAACCCGCGTTTGCTAAATGACTGAATCGATCCCAACAGTGCGCCACGTCCCGGGTCACCGCCAGCTGACGGTGTCGGGGCTGGAGGAGGTGGAGCAGGGGCCGATGTTGGAGCCGAGGCCGGTACGGGAGGTGCCGGAGCTGGTGCTGGTGCCGGGGGAGCCGGAGCCGCCGAAGGTGCAACAGGAGCTGAAGCCGACGCCGAAGTCGAGGTCGAGGCCGTGGAAGTTGACACCATATCAGACTACAAAAACGTGCGTTTGCATGTGCATGGCAGTGAGGGGCGCGTTGCACGATGAAACAAGGGGCGAGTGGGAAAACAGGGAAAATGCGAGTGGTGAGTCGCTGGGGTCAGCAAAAGGGGATCACATCTCAGACCTGTGGACGAGGGTTGGAGACGGAGGGGGCCGGTGCCACGAAACTACCCAGTTCATGCGTCTGAAAGATTGGCGGTGAGACAAGTCGCATTCCAAAGCACCGGGGACGCGAGCGAACATCGATGTGTACATCGTACCGAGCCATTGTTGGTGCGCACTTGGCGGCTGAGTTCTCTGTCGCGCTGGCGACTACGTTTTTCTTCGTCACGCACTTGCTCGTCCTGACGCTTGCGTGCCATGAGCTGAGAAAAGCTGGGGGTGAGAAGCACATTTGAAAACAAACACCAAACAAATTGGGAGTTGCCGCCAAGGTGCCACGTCTCACCTGAGCTTGTTGCTCACGCAAGACCTGGTGAGCGCTCGTTTGTGCTGACGCCAAGGCGTCGCGTACACGTGCGCTCAACTGTGCCATAAATAACAAGAGCATCAAGGTACCCGAGGACGGGAACAAGGTCAGAAGAGCCAGAGTCGAAAAGGAAGCTGGCACACTCATAGTCGGCAGGAAGGAAGCGGACAGGGCCCAGGACCCACCTTAAAGCTGCCACGCTCAACAGCCCCGAGATTGACGTCCTTGAAGTAGGGCATGGCCAAAAGTTGGGAGACTGTGGGAAGGCTACGCACACCACGGGGCGAGAGCAGCAGTTCCAGGATTTCCTTATGGGGTCCACTCGGTAGGGCCTCATCGAGGGTCAATTGACCGAGCGGGCGGCCAAACACCATCTATTCGGTCCAAGGAAGCCATGATGGCGTTCAGACTCGGTGCTGACTGCCTGGGCCTTGATGCGTGCAGGCAAGGCGTGCACAAGGGGTGGGTGGGCAAGTGCGCACCTCAAAGAGCACATGCCCGAAGCAGTAGACATCCCGGCGCTCAAGGGTATTGACTTTTTTGAGTTGCTTGACGTGGCCGTCGTAAAAGCCAGAAATGCCTGCTCATATGGAAAATCCATGAGGTCAGTGCAAAAGGGAGATGGGGTGCAACGGTTCATTTACCTAGGATGCCTGTTTCAATATCCGTCAGGTGCACGAGCTGATCGCTCACCACCATTATGTTACCTGTGAAAAAAACGAGAGCATGAGTGGACCAGGTGCATTAGCATGGATGAATAGGAAGAAGCAAGCCGGCCATGGGTGGTGGTGGTGGTGGTGTACGCAGGGCGCCAACCAGAATGAATGTGGCCAAGAGGGATGTTTTTGGCGTGACAGAAAGATATGGCCTCTAGAATTTGGCGTCCGTAGAGCTTTGTACGGCGCTCGTCAAAGGGTTTGTATTTGGTGCAACAGTACTTTTTCACGAAGCTTTCCTATCAATAGGGTGAACAGCAGCAGAATAGGGTGAAACGGGAGCTGACCCATCTGGGCAGGTGCGGAAAGCGTGATGCTGCATGGGGTCGTTTGGCCACTGTTCCTCCAAAGCTTGGGCCGGATCTAGTGGAGCGCGAGCGTCAAAGGAGGGCCAACCTGTGGGTTTTTGTTTTTGCAAACATGATCACGGATGGAGCCTTTGGGATAGAGGTTGCGGACGACGACGGCGTTGAGACCCGAGGCCTCATGGATGCCTCCGAAAATGGCAGGGGCAATGAAGGGATGTGATATGCCAGCAAGATATTTGAGGGCGCTGGCGAGGGCACCCGCCTCAACGTGGGGATGGCCCCCGACGCGTGTCTGGGTGAAAGTAGGCGTACGGAAAACCAGACCCAAAGGCGTGAGGCAGCGCTGTCTAGGGCTGGGCACGCGGGTGATGGGGAGGGGGAGCGACGCACCCATGCAAGGTACTTGGGGCCCTGGCTATCCTGGGTGGCATAGCCTTGGGTCTGGACGAGAACGAATTCCTTGGCGACTCGCCAACCCACGAGTGGGGTATCTTGTTGGCGCAGCCAGTTGGGATTGCTGCGAAAAAAGAGGCTAACGCCGCGCATATTCTCATCTGCGATTCAGGATTGGTTTGGGTGAGGACGTAGGGCGAGAGATTGCATGGTGCGGGTGGCAGCTGTAGGGGTAGGAACACAGATAGGATGCCCTGCCTTTGCTGGAATGGCATCTACCTGCAAGGTGATCGGAGACGAGGGTGGGCAGGAGAAATTGGCGGACAGCCATGTCATGGCGAAGGATGGGATGGCGGGCAAGGGTTTGCAGCATGCCCTGCACGGAAGAGTTATGGAAGATGCACGGAGGAGGGGAGGAAATTAAATCGGGATAGTTGGACGCGTGCGCAAGGGCTCTGAGGCTTTGAGCAGAGTATTCAGGATGAAAGGGGCTAGCTGCACGGGGCAGGTACGTACTTCCAGGGCGCGCTTGCGTTCCTCAATGACCGCGGCGGTCTTGTTTCCCATGAAGCGTTTGGGGGGAAGAGGGATATCGACGTTGGTGAGAGCAGTCACGTGGGCAGCCAGGGCGACGAAATCAGAATAGCGGTGCGGCGCCTGATAACTTTCGCCGAGGACGCCAACAGTGGTTTCGATGAGGTAGACCTATGCGATGGCACGTCCGAACATGACAAGAAGGGGGAGGGAAGGGGTTGCCCACAAGGCAGGAGGCACGGATCGGGCGGGAGCCGTGAGCCGTGAGCAGCAAGGACAGACGCAGGGAAAGGTGTGCGCAGGGGAGGAGAGGGATTGGTCAGGGGAGAGGAGGCACACGTACGATATGGCCCTGATCCTGATGGCTGACAATGGTCACGTCGAGCCCGTCCGTCACATCGGGATCCGTCGCTGCGGCAGCCCCAGTGGCCGTGGTACCGGATGGGGCGGCCATGACGCCCCCGTCGTCCAGCCGGGCAGACGTGTGTGTCGTGCACCTCCTCCAACACCCAAGAGCATCCGCGTGACTACCCGAGCACACCACCACCAGCACCGCCCGGCAAAACACAGAGTGAGAGGTCATCCGCTATTGCTTCATATCACATTGGATCCACTTGTACGAAAAGAGATAGATAGCGGGGGGGGGGGACAGGGAAAGAGTTGTCCATAGCAGAAGCAGAGGCAGAGGCAGAGGCAGAGGCAGAGGCAGAGGCAGAGGGAGGCGCTGCCGTTTCACTCACACACACATACGCGCGCACGTACTTTTTTATACTTTTTGCTTGTCCTCCAGATGCACACACACACACGAAAACACATTCGCTGAATTTTTCTTACATCCGGATGAAAATTTTAAATTTGAGGGGGAGAGAGAGTTTTAAGAATTGTCAGACGATATAGCGATAACAGTGATAATATGGGCGGGTCTGCTGGGAGATTGGCAGAGACTGGGAAACGCTTGGGGAGAACTGCTTGTGCAAGCGGCGGCACGCGTCTTTCGCGACCCAGACCCAAAACCAGATGTGTGGGATTCATGTTGATGCAGCACAATGACAAGATGATGCAGTTTATCAGGTCTCACTCACTAGAGTTACTGTAGCGGATACCATGGTTCCTGCACTTGGAAATTCTGTCCCGCACAGACCTTTTTTTGACAGAGATAGGGAGACCGAGACGGCAGAGACATCGAGAGACACCGAGCGACCGAAAAAACAGAGAGCGAGAGCGAGAGGGAGAACGTCGAAGACAATAAACATTATCGAGTGACCGCTTTGAGGGGTTTATTTATACAGGCAGGAGTAATTGTGCGGCGGCGGCGGCGGCGGCGGCTGATCACAAACACGGGACATCCATCTCTTCCCTCTGGATGTCCCCACAGAGAGCCCAAAACAAAAGGAACCAATGACGGCTCACACAAAACAAAAACCCGAGCAGACACTTGGGCGTCTTTGCTTCTCTGACACACGTGACGTACGTCCTGTTTGGCTACACGTTGTCGCCTACGGAGTGGTCGGTCGCAGAGGTATGTCTAGCGTCGGCAGGCAGGCACAGCCCACCGTCGCGAACATGGACGAACACGCACCTGAGACGCACCAGACGCGTTGTTACTTCCGAACGGGAGGGCTGCACGTGGGCTCTCGCGCGAGGACGGGTCTTGCGGGTCTTCACCAAACAGGACGGGCGGGCGCAAGGGTCAGAGGTGCAGCCAGACACGGCGTTTGACGAGCGGCAAGAGCAAGGGCCAGTGTGAGGGTGGTCAGAGGTTTT